GCGCTCGGGGGAACAGGGACTCCTCCAGCGCCTGCTGATCCCTCCACACTCCTTTTCCTTCTATATATAATAGGGGTTAAGGGACTCTGATACTTTAAGAGGAAATGTGCCCCAGGAAAGGCCTGAAATCAGATGCAAGCAGCTGGGCAAGGGATAGCTGCAGGAGAGTAGGCAACTAGAGGAAGCTGAAGATACAAGTCACAGCGTTGCAAGTAACTATTTGGAAACTAGCTGCCAAGCAATAGCCAAACAAGACAGGTCTCAAGGTAGGAGGGTAACAACTGCAGCTCAGTGGGTAAAATGCAGCAGATGAGAGCAGGCTGCCCACCGAACTAAGTGGACACCGGTGGCTAGTTGGAGAAGCACATCACTGAAAAGGATGGAACTCAGGAAATGTAAATCTTGGTCTCGGGGGCAGAGGAGACATCTGGACTGTAATATCTGAAGGAGATGAGCCCCTGCCAGCATGAGCTGCTACAGAGGGAAAGGTGCAGACCTAGAGAAGTACCCAAAAGGCTTTGAGAGAGCCAGCAGATGGAGGATGGAGTTTATAACAGAGTAGAGACCCGAGGTGGGGTTTAAGTTTGAGCTGGAAACCAGCTGGTTTCTATTTGAGTTATGTTTAACCAGGGATTTGGATGTGGCTACAGGGGTGGTTAGAAGCTACAGTGGCTGCCTTAGAGTCACAATCCACTGAGCCCTAAAACTAAGCCAGCAAGAGAGCAGCCCTGCAAGGATCAGGGACCCAGTGGGCTGAATCTGATATAAGATTAGAGGGCCCAGCAGGGAGAATAGACTAAGACTTTGGAGTCATAGGCGTTGCTATTAGGGAGGCTGGAGGCCACTATTAGGGCCAGAAGGCTGTAATTATGGCCAGTAGGGCCATGATCAATGCCTGTGGGCACGTCTGTGCATGCCCCTGACTATGCAGTTCATACTGCACAGTCATTTAGTACTTGCTTTTGTTTTTGACCCTACTACGCAGTAGCAACAAGCTACTGCACAGTAGCTGCAGCATCACGGTTAGTGCCTGCCAATGCTATGCTACTGTAGTAATGAGCTATGCCACTGTAGCTCAACCAAAAATAAAATGCTGGATAAACAAATGTAATGCAAGTACATATTATAATCCATAATCTCACCTTCACAACAATACCTCTTACACAAACACTAATTCCCAGTACACAGTGGGTGCATCTACACAAGATGCTACTGCACAATGGTTACTGCACGTTTATTTAGTATTTGCATAAGCAAATGCTAAATAATGTTTACTAGCTGGAATTACTGCCTGGTACAGCCAGCAAAAGTCTTTTAAGTGATGCTACTGTACAGTAGTTTAATAATACTATGTAGTAGTGTATTAGCACTGTCCTTGCTGTGTTGTGCTACTGAGCAGTATTATTCAGCTACTGCAGTTAGCATCTTGTGTAGACACACCCAGCAAACACGAGTTGGCCAAAACATTTTTATTGAGCAATCAGGGACAACAAATTAATATCCAAATGTCAGATTATCTGACTACCTGGACATAACGAGTGATGCCAATGGAAGCTACGCATGGACAGAGTCTCCGTAAAAGCAATAAGTCTATCCTTAAAAGGATCCAAATAGTGGCCAGTTTACACAAGGGTAGGGTTTCCAGCAAAGGACACCAGTGAAACAAAAACAAAGAGGGTGTACACATAAACCCATTAAGATTTTTCTCAAGAGAAAATAGTATCCAAGTTTATACAATTAACTGATTCAGGGTATTTACTTCAAGCTTCCCTGCGCCTAAAATGATAAAACTCTTATCCACAGTTGATGGGAGGCAGTCAGTCAAAACTCCTATATACCTGGGATTTTCTCCTACAGTTAATTTACATTAGAGCTTCACTAGTAAAGCATAATCTAATGAAACCATTGCCTGTTTACTTTCATAAAACCTTGAGAGGATTGTACAAGTTAAGATGACTATTCTATTCATTCCTAACACCTACTCCTGACTTCATACTCACCCAACTAATTTTTGCTACACATACTCTCTAGTCTTCCTCAAAATCATTCTACAAAGTAATGCAGAAATAATGTCCACTTGTCTGCCAAATTCTATCTCCGTGTTCTGTGAGAACATACTACTCTTGTCTTCAGGCTGTAGACTGTCTAGGACAGATATTCTTATTTATATGGCACCTGTTATCCTTGGCACAATGTTGTGTATTTTAAATTTGCATTCTAAATGAATGATATAACAAGTAATTTATTTCAGGAAATCTAAAAAAGGCAGCGCTACTATGTCACTGCATTATGTGAAGGAAAGATTTTTAGGGATTATTTTTAAATACTTACAGGCTTGCTTGGGTCTGCTTCAATTGAAAAATTTCCAGGGTTGCTGTTCAAAATTTGCAGTTTTAGGGTTTCATATGTAGGATTAGGAAGAGGAATATACAGACGGACCCATCTATAAGAAAAAATAATATCAGAGAATGTGACTGTAAATTAATAAACTTCTATTGTTACCTATTGTTAAATTTTTTTGGCTATTTGCCTAGTTGAGAAAGCAAGAATAAACCTTTAATATGAATTTATTTAGTAGCACAAATGATCAATAACAGCAAGAAGTAGTAAATGCAAGTACTGTCAGACCTGCTTGTATAAGGATTAAGTGGCCACCATGCATGTTTACTTCTAATCTCTGAGGTCTGTACTTATCCCTGGTCTTTTTTTCTCTATATCTAATTTTGGTGCAGCTCATTTCAGACCAGTGGTCATTTTGTGACTATCAGAAACTACCAAAGACTTTGTAGCAGGAAGTGAAATGATTGCATATACACTTTATCATACAGCACACATATGAACTGCAGTAACTGCTCTCAGAAAAAGTAACTGGACAGAAATTAATGATAATCAAATAAATAATGATACCTCCATTTACCTTTCATCTAAATAATGGCCAAGAGAAACTTGTAATTAAGTGGTAGCTCTAACAGTTTTTGATTTACTGCCTCTAAGCAGCAATTTTTCTTGATCATCTTGTAACCTTGAGCACTGCAAACAAGACTATTTTACTATCCTGCTCATTTAAAAGCAGGTGCTTCCACGCATCTTGTTCACTTCCCACTCTTCCCCCACATACACTCAAAACCAATTTCATTTTGTACAATTGTTATACTGCTCATTACAATATAATGACTAACCATTACAGTTAATATGCAGATCATGTATTTTAATGAGTACACTGACTGTCCTACACTAAAAAGCTGCTTTAAGGTGCTTGTGAGAGAGGCATTTATTAAATCAGCCAGTACTGTACCTTGACATTTTTTCCTTTCCTTCTATAATTAAAGCAAACATACAGACATCAGATACATTCTGTACGAGATGCTATTTTCAAAAGAGGAGGTCACTAGCTAGTCCAAGATTCCTATTATTCTGATCATACTACTATAATAATTCTCTCTAATGAGGATGTCTGCCCATAAATCACATGCTGGTTAAAACAGCAAGGGACACATAAAATAGATTCAAGGTGGATCAGTGAAAATGGTAATTAAGAAAAAGTTTGAAACATGTAAGAGACTGGTTTATGCAATAGTTTAGCCACCTTGGCGTTATGGAGGTGCCCATCTATTCAAAGCTGTGACTAGCCAACTAAGTTACTACAGCTTGCACTACAGATTTTTTCCCCTCATGGAACTAGTTCATCATACACAAAACAATAAAAAACCCATAAACCTTCACAATGTCTTAGAAGGAAAGGCATTTCAATCTGGTTTTACACCTGTGACTGGAGGCCCTCCAATTTAGTGTATGCAAGTAGCCTACCTTTCCCTTCCTATGGATGTGTTGATTTCAGAAATGCTAAACTATTCATTGTCACCTAAATCCCCAACAGCTAAGCAGCAGTATCTTCTTGCCTCAAGCCTTTTGACCTCTGTATCAAAGGATTTCCCGATCTCGGAGACAGCTGAAAATGACTTCCCAAAATTGTTACATTATGATAGAAGGGTGTCAGGGTACCAGGGCAGGCTGAAGGATACAAACTCCCTAATTTCCTGAAAATAAGTGAAATGAAGTGGGAACTGTGCAGTACAGAGATAAAGATCCCTAAAATTCCAATTCTAATGTCCATTTCCATTTGGCTCACAAGATCCTGGAACATCATGCCCTTCCTGCAGAGGAAGAAGTGCCTCAAAACCTCTGAACTAATCAGCAGGCCACTATTTTACTGCTGCAGGTTTTGAAAGTGGCCAAAATACAAGACAGCCAAATTACCAACCCTATACAAGATTGCCTGATTAAGGCACACAGGGCCTGTAATATTTCTGCTGGAAAAAACTGGCAGCAGATACACTTGTAATTAAGTCC